GTGTGTGTGTGTGTGTGTGTGTGTGTGTGTGTGTGTGTGTGTGTGTGTCAGAGGTCAGACGTGGACAGACTGCAGACGTTGACCAGAAGCATCCAAGAAGCAGAGAAGAAGATTGAGATGTTGACGTAAGTTAGTTTTGTTTTTATGTCAGCTGTTTGTTATCAACCTTCTGCTCCTGTGTGTGTTGTTAATAGACTATCTCATAATGAATAGTAAATAATAAAATAATAAGAAAGCATCAAAATATTTTCTTCCAGCAGTGACTCGACATCAAACAAGCAGAAATGTGTTATATAGTTTTAATATCATGTAGGAAGAATAGTTGAGTTTTGTAACTCTGGACACATAAWAGAGTTAAAGACATTTTCAACAAACATGAGTGGATAAAACTCCAGCAGTGATGATGATACGTTCTGACCCGTCTCCTCCTCACCAGAACCATCCCACCGGAGCAGCAGGCCGAGGCAGATGAGCTGGCAGCTGCTTTCTCTGAGCTGAAGACTAAAACCATGCACGAGTATCAGGAGGCGGTAGGTGGTGCTGGAGCAGAGTGAGGAGCTGAAGCTTTAATGTTCCTCACTTCAGCTCAAATCCTCTGTTTCCTCTCAGAGCGCCGTGGACGAGAGTGTTGCAGAGTGGAAGGCCAGAATCGCAGAGACCACACAGAAGCTGGTACCAGATTCAGCTTAACACACCGTTGTACTCCTGTACTGTTTTTAATGAGCAGCTGTGTGCGTGTGTGACAGGCCCAGATAAAGGTGGACGTCGGGGACCTGAAGGAGGACATCAGTACTCTAAAGTCTCAGATTGTTGAGTCTCCAGAGGAACTGAAGAGTGAAATGGAGAGGATGAGGGAGTGCGTTAAAACCATGAAGATCTCCATCGTGAGCTGAACCCTGTGCTTGTTCTGAACCCATGCTTACCTGTGTGTCATACACACACACACACACACACACCTGTCAGCTGAGTCTCATGTCTGCCCGCAGAAAGACACAGATGAGCGTCTGGTGGAGCTGCAGAACATGGTGCAGGGTGTGGGTCACACCGAGGCTGAGGTCCAGCAGATGTTCAGCCTCCTGCAGGACCTGGAGAGCAGCATGAACTCCACCAAGCAGCTGCAGGAGGAGGTAGTGACACACAGCAGCTGTAGCAGAGACGCTCTGCTAATACACCTGTCTCCATACACACCTGTCTCCATACACACCTGTCTCCATACACACCTGTCTCCATACACTACAGGGGCCTCATGTATCAAC